CAAATTGTTTTTATTAAAATTTTTCTTAAACTTTAAACTTAAATATCTTAACTAAAACTTAATCAATTTTAATGATTTAGTATTTATTTTAATTCTACAAATTTGTAAAATTAAAATAAATACTAAATTATCAAAATTGATTAAGTTTTGGTTAAGATATTTAAGTTTAAAGTTTAAGAAAAATTTTAATAAAAACAATTTGCCTGGATTCTGTTGACTTACCTCTATATCTATATTAACTAGTATTCAAATTGGTAAATTTCTTTTATTTAAAGATTCTTATCTATACAAGTTACCTGTTTCAAATTTTCTTTTCTAGATCAAGATTTTTATAGATAATACTATTAAAGATTATATTACTTTTTTATTTAAGATTTTTAAACAGAACTTCTTATAAAATATATATTTTTTAGATTTATTTATATAATATTATATACTCTTAAAGTTAGTTTTAATATAATCAAAATTACAGAGTTACAATTTCAGATACTTTGTTTAAGTTACTAGAATAGGACTATTTTTCAAAATTTTGCTACTAATAAGATTTGAACTCTGAATCTATTGTTTAGAAGATAACAACTTAACTACTATATTAAGATTATTATTTTTATTTAATATATTTAAATAAAGAAGAACATAATATTTAATTATGAAGTTAATTATAATTATTTAATTTTTAATTTTGGATTGAATTAATATAAAATTCAACTAACAAATTTTTTAAAATCTAAGTTTTAAAATTTTAACTAAATTTAAATTAAATTAATATAAAATCAATTATTAAATTTTGTTTAATTTAATGTTATTGGTATTAGATTTTTAGCATTATAGTAATATTAATAATATTAAACTTAAACTTATCTAATTTGATTAAATAATTATTTTAGAATTTATAAAAGTTTGTAATATAAAATTAAAAAGAGTAAATTTTATTAAAATTTAATAAAATTCTTTGATTATTTAGATTAAATTAATATAAGAATCAAAAAAGTTAAATTTTTGACTAAGTTTAAATTAAATTAATATAAAATTTAAAATAATTAAATTTTATTAAAATTTAAATATTAAATTTTTAACTAAGTTGGTTTAAATTAATATAAAAATTAGTGTAATCATATTTATTTATTTATTTTTTTTAAATATTAAGGTGAGTACATATGACTCAGGATTTTATTGATAGTATATTTAGCTAATAATTGTATTACAACTACAGAAGATAATCATGAAGAGAGTGTACAACTAGCTACTTATACAACTTTAGTTATTGTCTAATTTAAGTAGTCTGCCCAAAGGTTCTACACTAGCTGTCATATCTGGAATCCACTTGTAGATTCCCTATTTAACTACTCTGTTTTCATATCACCTACCTACTTCTGCCCACCAATGACCCCAACCAATGCTAGTAAAAATATGCCATGGCCACTAAGTCTTTAAAGCAGTTCACTCATATAAGAAATCTTTAACCTTGTACTAAATCTTTTAGAATCTTCTGTATCCTATTCTTATAGCTGACTTTGTATCGCTATGGCTAAGACTAATACTAGCAGTCAGGATATACCATTAAACTGCTATGCCCTTGTAGAGTTTATCCCAATCCTGGTACTAACTTCATAACATATTCTTACTACTTTAGTATTTAATTTAAGTTCTACTAAGCTGTCATTTCAGATAGTCCAGAAAGGTAGGACAAGACTATACTTCTGGTTTATATGCTGCTAGCATGTACCCTTTTTCTCCAGAATTTGGAAATTCTAATAGCTTGGTTGGTTCATTTGGTTCTTCTTTAAAGAATAGCATATTTGCCTAGTTTAACAAGTACATATAGGAAGAATTTCATATAATTGGTATCAATAGGCCTTCTAACTACAAAGAACTTATTGTATTATGAAGTTGAATACAATTATTAGTGCTGTAGAAAATTGCAAATTTGTTTAGAGACTTTGGTAGCAGCCTTTTTATAGCTTTTTAGTATTTATTGATTTTTATTTATTATCAATTGAGTTATGATTATTTAATACTTATATATACATTATACACAATGATGGTTTTTTCTATTATCAACTTATTTATAGGTTTTTTATTTTTAAGATACTATATTAATTTTCTTATTTTAAAACATTGGTGTAAAGTTGTATGATACAGTAAACCTCTACAAATGCATGCTCTCAGGACTAAACTCTAACAATGTGCACTTAGAAAACAGTAGTCATATATAGATTTGAGTCAGAAATTGAACATGTGTTTAAAGATATGCATGCTTAAGTTTTGGCCTAAATTTATACATAACCTTCATAATGATAAATGCACTTTTTCTAATTGTACATTGTTAGGTTTTACTGTAGTACAGTTTAAAAGATAACATTTTCTCATTTATCTATTTTTTTTTATTTCTTATAAATATCTACACTAATTTACTTCTTTTACTATTTTATAAGATTTTTAAAATATACAAACTAGTGAACTGTTTTGCTATATGTGCAATTATGATGTTAATTATTTTTATTGTTGGTTAAATATTCTTATGTTTTGAGTAACACAAAGTGAAAACCAGGACTTTGGCTTTTAAACTTTCAATATTAGACTTGAGTACTATAAGCTACAAATTTAAAAGCTCAATAACTAATTTTCTTTTGGTGTTACTCATTTTTTTCTTGCTAATAGTTGGCTTAAATATATGTATATTTTTTTTCATAAAGTTCGATTGTCTTAGTTATAAGAATTAAAATTTTATGTTCATGCTATACGACAGATAATATGACTAGACCAGATGTTGAATTGTTAAGGATTACTATTCATGTTATACTTAGATGTTTTTAAAGTGTAAGTATGAGACAATTACTCTTTATTATCTTTATCACATAACTTTTTTATGTACTTATTTCTATTATGAATATATATATTTAATTTTAGGTAATTGTATTATTTATATTTAATCTTTGTAGTTAAGATAATGTGTAAATAAAGGTTTTACTTCAGTGAAAGTTTAAGTCATAAGATATAGTCAATTCTCTAATAATCTATTTATATTATACTATATTATATAGATGCTGAAAGTGAAAACTTGTAATTATAAGTTCTCAAAATTTCATTTTCAGAAACAGCTTGTAATAATCTGACATTGTTCTGTTTCTAAAAATAAAATTTTCAAAAATCATATGAATTACAGGTTTTCACTTTGCAGCATTTATATATTATGTTTATTTAATTTATTAGGCAAGTATTAAGAGTTTATTAATCAATATATTTATTCAAGCTCTGAATGTTATTTTTTAAATTGACCATCAAAGTTTTGTGAATTTTAATTTAACTTTTAAGTTTTAACTTAGTAGGTTGCTTAATGTTTTTACTTATTACTTAGTGCATTGAAATAAATTATGTTAAACAATTCAAGAAATTTATTAATATAATAAAGCCTTTATAAGTGCATCTTTATGGTCTTAAATATAACATAACAATGGTCAGTCATTTTCAGCTAGTCATTTTGTAGTGTTAGGTGTATCTCATGATTCAGTACTTCAGATTGGATAATTTTAATACTATTCATTAAGACGATTTAGATCACTGGATTATAAGATAGTTACAACTTAGCTAAAAATGATTATTCCTACATATGACCTACATAAATGCACTTTTTCTTATTGTCTTTGAGTGGAGTCTGGTCCTAAGAATATGCACTTATAGAGGTTTACTGTAATTACCTTATACTTGCATTTGATTAATTTTATTTATTTGTGTTAAGCATATAAGTAAATTAAATAATTAATGTACAATTGATTCATCTAAGAACATAGTTATATTAACATTCAATTCTTATTAGCTAACTAAGTAGTTAAGTATATAACCTTTTTTTTGTATATTTGATATAATATATTAAGTTTATAAATATTTATATTTTATTTAATTAATGTTAATTGTTTTAAGCTGTGATGTATAGTTTTATTTTTTTGGTTTTTTTGCTTTTTGACTTGTGAAAGTGTTACTAATGCTTCTTATTTTTTTTAGGGTTGTTCGAATGTTACTAGGTTTTTTGGTAACTGTAAGGTATATGTTTTTTGAATTGAAAATGTATTGGTTTAATTTTTCAAAATTTTTTTTTAGTGGTTTGTGAATGCATTACTAATACTGCTTACTTTTTTTCTAAATTTATTAGAGCATTTCTGGGCTATCTTAGGAACTGTTAAGTGTATGTCTTGTAAATCTGGGATGTATGATTTCAATTTTTTGTTCTTTTTTTTTGTAATTTGTGAATGTATTACTAATGCTTCATACTTTTTTTCTAGGTTCTCTAGAGCATTTCTAGGCTTTCTTGAAAACTATAAAGTGTATATCTTATGAATTTGGAACATATAACTTCAATTTTTTGTTGTTTTGCTTTTTGGTAGTTTGTGAATGTATAACTAACACTGCTGTCTTTTTTTTTTGTAGATTTATTAGAATGCTCTGGGTTATCTTAGGAACTGTTAAATGTATGTTTTGCGAATCTGAGATGTATGATTTTAATTTTTTTGTTTTTTTTTGTAATTTGTAAATGTATTACTAATGCTTTTTACATTTTTTTCTAGATTCTTTAGAGCATCTCTGGGCTTTCTTGAGAATTGTAAAGTGTATGTTTTGTGAATTCAGGATATATGGCTTTAATTTTTTGTTATTTTGCTTTTTGGCAGTTTGTAAATATATAACTAACATTGCTGCTTTTTTCTTTTTTTTTTGTAGATTTATTAGAGTGCTCTGGGTTATCTTGGGAACTGTTAATTGTATGTCTTGCAAATCTGGAGCATATGGTTTCAATTTTTTGTTCTTGTTTTTTTGTAATTTGTGAATATATTACTAATGCTTTTTATATTCTTTAGAGCATCTCTGGGTTTTCTTGGAAATTGTGAAGTGTATGTTTTGTAAATCTAGAATGTATGGCTTTAATTTTTTGTTGTTTTGCTTTTTGGTAGTTTGTGAATGTATAACTAACACTGCTGCCTTTTTTTTTTTTTTATAGGTTCATTAGAATGCTCTGTGTTATCTTGGGAACTGTTAATTGTATGTTTTGCGAATCTGGAATGTATAGTTTTAATTTTTTGTTCTTGTTTTTTTTGTGATTTGTGAATATATTACTAATGCTTTTTATATTTTTTTCTAGGTTCTTTAGAGCATCTTTGGGCTTTCTTGGGAATTGTAAAGTGTATATCTTGTGAATCTGAGATGTATGGCTTTAATTTTTTGTTGTTTTGCTTTTTGGCAGTTTGTAAATATATAACTAATACTGCTGCCTTTTTTTTTTTTTGTAGGTTCATTAGAGCACTTTGGGTTATCTTAGGAACTGTTAATTATATGTCTTGTGAATTTGGGGTGTATGGTTTCAATTTTTTGTTCTTGTTTTTTTGTGATTTGTAAATATATTACTAATGCTTTTTATTTTTTTTCCAGGTTCTCTAGAGCATCTCTAGACTTTCTTGAGAATTGTGAAGTGTATGTCTTGTGAATCCAAAATATATGGCTTTAATTTTTTATTGGTTTGCTTTTTGGCAATTTGTGAATGTATTACTAATACTGCTGCTTTTTTTTTTTTTTAGGTTTATTAGAATGTTTTGGGCTATTTCGGGAACTGTTAATATATATCTTGTGAATCTGAAGCATATGGTTTTAATATTTCAGTCTTGTTTTTTTTTGTAAACTCATTACTAACATTTTTTATTTTTTCTAGGTCTGTTTTGAATTTTTGAGTTTTTTTGGAAATTCAAAAAAGTATAATTTTATTTGTTTTTATTTTTATTTTTTGGTTTATATTTAACTAATATATTTTCTTTTCTAGACATTGATTTGTAAAATTTTCATCTCAGTTATTAGTCATCATTTTGATACTGTTAATGTGAATTTCATTACTCACATTTTTTTATGTAATATTACTTAGTTTTTTGTTTGTTTTCTTTTGGTCATTGTATTTTTGTTAGTAAAAGTATTTTGCAATAGTATTAATAGTATAGTATAGATTTATATAGTTAGAGTTGATGTGTTTAAGGCTGAAGTAATTAGAATTAGGTTGGCTTGAGTTTTATAATAATTGCACAACATAAATATTCATTATAGCACATTTGTGAAATACCTCAAAATTTGAAAATTTTGATAACTAATATATAAATATAGATTTTAACTGAGATAATTAACATTTTTCAAGTTATGATGCATTATTTAAATAATTTCTTATATCTATTAGGATGCTTTAGAAAGTGAAAAGATATGGAAAAGATGGGTTAGATGTATTATTAGTACAATTAGGGATTTAAAAAAAATTTTCAAGGTTTTATCATTGATTAATTAATATACAACTCAGTAACTAAAATTTAATTTGAGGAACCAAATACTTGGATTTGATGACAAATTGTTTGCTTAATTTTGCAAATATGCCATAATGTAATAATAATTGTGTAATATTACAGTATTATTACTGTATTATAAATAAAAAATTTTGCTATGAATTATAAAAATTGATTATGTGATTTTGATCTTGATTGAGATCAATTTTTTATGTAATCTGAAAAATCTTATTTACATCCTGGTGCAGTTGTAATCCAGATACACCAAGTTGGGTCATACTAACATTGAGAGCTCAGAGCATCTATGCAAAATGTAATGTTATATATATATAGAAGAATGTATAATCAGTATTGCATAAAACTTCAATGCAAACTCATGATAAGACTACCAGGTATAAAAAACTAAGAAACTGAAGTAATAAAAACCTACTTAAAAATTTTTGAGTAAAGAGATAGCATGTACTTTTGACAATACTATTAGACTAGTTGAAGTCTATAAAATAGCTTTATAAAAACTGAAGGTTAAAACTGAATGACAAATATGTGTAGAAGAGTATATAACCAATTAGGCCACTAGACTTGTTAGAAAAAAAGAATACAAAAATATACTATATTAGGTCATCTGGATTGGTAGTCTGAAATAAAACTAACAGTTTTGAGTTGCAACTAGTAAGAAATAATAAAGAAGATACCAAAAAAATAGATACTGGAATTCTAATAAACTTTGCAAAAATAGAAATAATATAATATAATGGTTAAACAGATAATCTTTGTGATTGTAAGTATTAGATAACTATAGCATGTTGCATAAAACTAGGTCAGTATATGTGAAATATAAAGGCTCTAGTAAGTTTCCTGTTAAGAATAAAGTAGTTTTAAGAGTAATAATCAGTATTAAGAACTTGAATAAGTGTAGTCTTAAAGATGTTCTTATTATATAAGAAGAATTGCATATGCAAAAGATTTAAATAAGCAAGACTTCTAGTTGGTTTGCAAGTATAGCATCTAGTATAGAACTTATATAGTAATATATAAGCAAACTACTTAAATTAGACACTAAAACTATATATGTAGCTAGTTGTAATCTTTAATGTAAGATAGTCTCTAATGGCATATTATGTTTTATATACTTGAATAAAAATATTATATTCTGAAAATAGAGACTTTAATATTAAAAAAAAAAAAAATAGTGCATAGTTACATAATATATGACCAATTAGATTATAGAATTTTGCTAATTATTAATAAAGAAAAAAAGTAAAAAACTTGAAAAATACCAAAAAGAGCAGTCTAAATCTGCCTTAGTTAAGTTAAATAAAAATGTTAAGAAAACAATCTTACTTATATATAAATATTTAAATTTGCTTTAATCCTAATTCAAGATGATTATAACTCTAAAACTAATTTGATAAAATATATATTATAAAAATCTACTTTGCTTTAGATATATGTTATACAAAATCAGAATTTTTTGAAAGCTGATCTAAATCACATAATTAATCTATTATATAATTTTAAGCATCATTTAATTTTTAGCATTAAAGGCCTGCAAATTGCCTATTTTTAAGGTCTGGCCTAACCTACATTTAGGATTAAAAATTTTTTGCTGGCCTGGCCTAGCCTGCATATAATTAAATTTTTTCTTTAGCTCAGCTTGGTCTGACTTAGTCTACAAAATTTCTTATATAATTTTGCAAAATTTTAGATCTAACCTAGTTTACAATTATAAAATTTTGCTTTAGATTTGACCTGACTTACAAAAATTTGTGGGCCAGACTAGGCCAGACTGGGCTGCAGAACCCAATACAAACCTTTATCTAGCATTATTCTTTACATTATATAATTTTCTGAGACTAAGATTTTATTAAGCATTTAACTAAAAGTTTTATTAAAAATATTTGTAAAGTCTACATCTTAGCAATATGGTCTATTTAAAAATGTAATATGGAATATAACTCTTTGAGTTTTTTAAATTAATTAGAAATCAACTTGGTTATACTTTAACTATAACCAAAAAACAATATATAATATTACTAACTTTAAACTCAACTATCTTAAATTATTCAAAATTAAAACTTTATTAAATAAACTTTTATCTATTTTACTTTTACAAAATTTATTTATATATATTTCACATTGCTAACTGCTTCTATTACAACTTAGCTAACTCTTTAACTTACTAACAAGCATGTTTAAACTTATTACTTATTTTTAATATTATTTAAACTAATATATTTGAATATATTAATAATACAGATCTTAATTTATTTATAAACTAATAAGAAAAACTTATTTATAAAATTAGTAATCTTTATGTTTTCTACTATATATTTTCTTTAATAAATTTTATTATCTTGATATTACACTTAAGGATAGAAGCATATAGATTATTTTTATATATAAGCATATCATCACTTTTGATACATTATATTTTATAAAATAAATTATAAAGCTTATTAATAATATTAAATCTAATGACTATTATTTTAAACTATATTTTTAAGATTATATATACTATAATATTAAGGTTTAAAAATAAATTTATTATATTTTTATAAACTTTTTAAAAACTCTTTCTGTAGATTATTTTTACAAATTCTTGCTAAAAACATTTGATTATTTCTCAATAATTTACTAAGCAAACCTTACTTGTACTCTTAAGTAAAGTTGTTCAGCTCACTTTTTTCATCCTAGCTAGCTGGATTTTAAGCCTAAATATCTCCTAGCTACTAAGAAATATTCCAAAAACTAAATCTTTAGTTTTTGCTTCTTTTCTAAGAATTTTACTAATTAAATATACTTTGTTGCCTATTAGAAAAACATTCAGCTCCTTAAGGCGATCATTTTGATATATATTTCATTACAAATAGACCGGAACTCATCAAAATACATATAAAAAGGCAAAAACTAAAACCTGTCTTTGTAGGTTTTTTTATTGGCAATTTTAGAAAATCTATTGGGTTGCCCCAGAAAATTCACTTTTCTGATGGCCATTAAAATTTTCTAAACATCCAGCAGGCTCTCACATTTGTCCTACATTTTTCAAAATTGGTCTAAACATCTTAAAAGCTCTTATAATTAAAAAATTTTCTCAGAAACTAATAATAACAAAACAGTTTGTACTATTTTAAAATTATATTTATAACCTAGTTACCTCAGTCTACTCAACATGCCTATTCTTAGTACTGTAGCATTTGACACTCTAGACCTTGATTACTTCTTTGAAAACTATACTGGTTCCTATAGAATTACTATTTATGAAAAAGAACCCAAAAATATTAGAGCTATTTCTAACAAATACAAGCTAACTAAATGTGTTACTATGAAATTGAGAACCCATCTAGCTACATATTTTTTTTTAGTTCCTCTAACAACTAAAACCATTAAGTGTTTGTGTGGATTATTTCATACCCAATTTATTTCAGAAAATAACAAAACATATGAAATCACCAATACAATTGAACCAACAACTAACTTACAAACCAAAAAACTTCGACAAGCACTTTACAAATCTACATTAAATATCCCACCATCTTCTTTATCAACTACTCATACACATATCTGTTCCAAGTGTCAAATTCCAATTAACTGCAAAGTTACTAACAATAATTATGGATTGCAAAATGAAACTATGTTTTATAAAAATGAAGTATATCACAACAACTGTCTTGCTGAAATTTATAAACAAACCAAATTAACTGATCAACCCAACCCTCAACCTACTATCAACCCTGAACAAGGTTCTTCTTTACAATACAAGCTTCCAGTCCAACAACTAATCCAACTCTTAAATAATAATTATTTAAACAACCTTTCTATTCTTGAGTTTACACCTTCTCAAATAATTCCTAAAGAAACAACTAACACTAATAATGACATGGATATTGACAACTCCAATTTATTAAATAACAGCAACCCCAATACATTAACTAGCAACTCACAACAATAACAACTCTTACATCAAACTTTACCACCACAACAAAAACAACAACCCAACCAAAAACTATCTCAACAATCTTAACTATCTCAGTCTTATAGTCAAATAACAAGACCTAAGCTCAATCCATCATATGACTTTGTAGCAAACTTTTCAGTTACAGATGAAATGCAAAATTATACTAAACTACAAACAGAGCTATTCTGTAAACTTTTCAACTTCTTTAAAAAA